CTTTTCTTGTGGATAGTGGCACTTTTTTATGTGGGCAAGATGGCTTTCTGCCCAGGGTGGCAAAGCTTAGGGGCGTGATGAAGCATCTGTCCGTCCAGTCATATTCAGTCCTTTATTTTTCATACTTTAATAAGTGTTATCTTAATTTCAATTGGAAAGGCGTGGAGCCAAACATCAGCATGGTTTCCATGGCACAAGAGATCATCACAAACATGCACACCGCCAAAATATCTTTTTTTTTGGTTTGTGGGTGTTAAAGATTTATTTGCATATCTCTAACAGTTTCTCATGTCTGTTCATGAAGTTTGTGATTTATTGTGTTTCTGGTGGCTCAGCAGGACATAATATGCTGCATAGCATCTTGAGTAATCATGTGAATCCCACATCTTCCACAATAGCACTTTTAAGTAGAAACCTTCCAATGCGCTTGTTTTAGGTTTGGTCCTTTCTGGTGGCTTTCCACTGAAATACTGTTTAAAAGCTTCTGGGATTTAAGTTTTGTTTATTGTTTTTCTTTTACTGACTGTTTTCCTGAAACTGCCAATAAAATAAACCAGGCATTTCCGTGGAGGAGGTAACAAACTGGACATGAAACCATAACTTAGTCTCTTATATACTGTAGATTCTTACTCCATTGCAGTATTACAAAATAACGAGACAAACTTGTATATTTCTTCATTTTCTTCCAACATATGTAAGCACAATGGGGAAAACACAATGCCATATTTACTCTGCTATCCAACATCGTACAGCAGAGCTTCCATAAGCCGTTTGCTGTAGGTGTTTAACTAAGGGCCTGACGGCAAGCCTTTTTTGTTGTTGTTTTGCTTTTGGCTAATCTTACTTCTTTGTTGATTCTTTTTATTTTATTTTCACTTTTTCAGTTATATTTTGAAATGTCATGAAGGTCCTGAGTTACACTGCAGCGTAAATTCCTTTTTTATGAGAAAACCACTGCAAAACAGGACTAATTGCACAAGAATTACAGTTGACGACTTGAATCTTGAGCTGTTGGTTTTACTCCAGCTTGTGTTGCTAGTTTATCCTGCAACCCTGTATTTCCTCGGTGCACATGTAAAAAATAATTGAAAAATCTATGTTTGAATTCCATGGCTCAGATGCGCCACACAAACACACTCACATCCGAGTCGATGCAATGTGACGGCTGTTTGTTGTGTAACCAAGCCCAGTGACTCATGAAAGGAAGGAATGCAGCGCTGTGATGGGTTGAGGAGGAGGAAGAGGAGGCCAGCCTGGGGAAGGTCTTGCAGAGACAGTCAGCTATGTTCCCAAAGTCATCTGGGGGAGCGATGGAGAGGAAGAGAAAGACGCTGAACATTTGGTTTTGGGTCATGCCTCAACTGCCAGCGCTTGTCTGGACACTGAACCGCAAGTGAAGCGTAAATACATCTCAGCTTTGATGCAGCCATGACCGTGGTCAGACAAACCACATGGTAGCCTAACCACATACAAATGTGAACCCATGAGAGTCTGTTACTCAGTGGAACAGGATGCAGACTTATAGGAAAAGCCTTCTGAAATAAAAAATGAACTCCTCATAAAGAACTGTGCCTCAGCTTGCTTTCAGCTGTACTCCCTTAAGAATCATTCACAATATGTGCCAAGTACAAAATTATACCTTGTTTGATTTCGTCTGCCTGTGTGTATTTATACATATATATTTTTGTATGTGTGTGTGTATGGGTTTTGTGGATTTGTTTATATTGACTTTCCTCTTGGCCCAGGAGCCATTTGTTTTTCAGCAATGCGTAGGCAGTTTTGCTGGAATGGAAGTGCATGATATTCGCCTAGTACACATGCGCACACACTTCCACATTTGCAGTCGTACATGCATAGATTCAGGCTGTGCCTCCCTGGCAGTGTTATCATCCAAAGAGGCAAACAGCCAGCCCCTGATTTAATAAGCTGCCTGGGGAGTAACAGAGAGGTGGGAAAGTACTATCAGCTGATAACTGTCCTCCCTGCAAGCCCATCTTTTTCCTCTTACAGTCTTGCCAAGAGAAAGCTTGGCTTTTCCTTGTGTTTTGTGTGAATGCGCATGCCGTGTGTGGGAGCGATCCCCTGCCGGCTTCAGCCCACGTGTCTGTGGGCTGCAGCCGTGCTGGGCTGCCTCGTTCTGGGTGTCAGACAGACAGCAGAGGAGAGCCCGCATATGGCGAAGGCAGGCCTGATTTCCAAGCTAAGGAGCATATGCACAGTCCCACACCCACTAATCGTGCACACAAAACGCGCATCTTGCGTCATAGATGGCACTTCTGCCAAGCAGGAGGAATCCACAGCCCTGAGTACTGACAGAATCCCCATCTCCGTTGTCCTCTCTCTTCTGCACTTCACAAGGCGCACATAACACAACAATCACTGTTCACAAACTTGACAGCAACTCCAAAAGAGGCATCTCGAAAGTGTCGCAACAAACGGGAACAAAAGTATACCACAAAATTTAACAGAGCAATGGCTGCGTTGCATTTTGACATTTTATTGCTTGCAATGGTTTTAAAAGAATGGGCTTGTGGTCTCTGTCAACTCTTTGTTTGTCAAACAGAGAGTTGACTGTTTCTAAATTGTTTGAATTTTAACAAATTCAAATATGAGTTTGATGGTTGCCTTCGCCACGGTGAGATTTGAACATTTTGCTTCCTGTTGGAAGTTTAGGATACTTTATTGAGAAGATAAACTGAACACAAAACGCCTCCCAGAAAAGATAAACACTTTGAAAAAGACATTGGATTCCAGGCTAGCTTATTTTGAGTTTTGGCCTATCAGCTCTGCTGTCTCAAGTTGTGATCAGTTCTTGTCGAGGTGAAAAGCAGCTAATTTCTCACTGCGCCTCTCATATTTAATGTATGATATTCATAAGTCAATATCTGATTGTTGCTCTGGATCTGTGTTTTTCTCTCAGGAACTATATGAAAGTTGCTTATCATTGATGACTTTCATGAAGTGTTAAAGTCTCACCTAATTTAATTGTATTTGTTTTAGCATTATAGTTTGGTTTTGAACATATTTCATATTACTCAAAGTTGAATTCTAAAATTTTAATTTAAAAAATTATATTAAAAACTTGTTTTTCCAAGTAGATATTTCAACAGTTTATAATTAACTAATTCTCATTCTTTTAAAAGAATCTTGTTCACACAAGATTTGGTGTGAACAGCAGGAAAGCTTTCAAGAAAGAACTTCTCAGATGAGGGGAAGCTGTTACACCAATGCACCGTGCAGCTTTAGAAAATAAACATTTCTTGCATCCTCACCCCTGACTGTGCCACAGTTTCCATCATGAGCCAATAAATTTCAGCTTTAGTGTACCAGTAAAGTTGTTTTTTAGATTGGAAAAAAGGGACAAAATACAAGCAAGTGTTTCCTGGAAGCTTTTTGACAATCGCACTGTGGCAGCAGTTCTCTTATATAAAAAAAAAAGTTATGCTTTAACTTGCAGTTTGGAGTGTTAAATGTTGGTTAAACCCAAGTGTCAGCTGACCTGAACATGTACCAGCAATTACAAATAATTAAAAAAATAATTTCACTATAATCTCAAGCACAAAAGATCCTGTTTTCATCTCACATTGAAGCTATTCTCTTTGAAGGTGGATCAGTTATAGTTCAGAAGCTGGTGATTATGTGAAATTTGTGGTTTTTGCTTTACTTTTGTTTACTATTAGGGCAACAGTGCAGCCTTGGCTCTTGTTTTCCACAAGAGCTGAACAACAGGCATGCATTGGGGTGGCTACAGTGACCTGCTGCTGACACCAATGATTGATCCTGGTGCAGGAATAAGTGCCTGCGCGCAGCTGAGCGAACTGGTCCACTGAAACGCAGCCAGGCGGAAAATTAGAAATCTCTTCATCCTTGGTCCATTTGAAATCCGATATCTCTCGTCTTCCTCTCACGCACTCACCTTTCCTCGGCCAATAAATCTGTAGTTAAATGATGTGTTTATGTGCACGCACCGAAGGGACTGGAGATTGTTTTGTCTTTGATGGTTAAGAATGTGCATATGCCCAGTAAAACTTCCCATTCCTCCAACACCTCGTGGTCTACATTTAAAAGGAAATCAATTCTTAAATGCAGACTTACACTTGACTGAGGTGCATGCTGTATACGATACCAGTTGAATTTCTAACAGTGCATTTGGTCTCCTCTGAATGCTACAAGGCTAAGAAAAAAGTATTTCCTCCCAAAAGTTTACTTGTCTTTTTCCACAATTTCATATTTAAGGTCAATAAGTACATGTTATCAGTTAAAGATCACCAAAGTACATTTAAAAAAATTACATTTTCAATTCCTTATGATGGGAGAAACTCCTCTGACATTCTGGCACATTTGAATATTTTTTGAAGTTTATTGAACAATTTTCAAAAAGTTTTATAAGATGTTTTTTTTTTCCTGTTAAATATAATGTTTGTTCTTTTTGGTCCACAGTGTTGTGCTTCTTAACCTCTCCCATAGATTCCAATTATGAACACTGACCTTAACTGAGGAAATTGAGAACTGCAGTGATTTAGATATTTTTCTTTGTCCTAAAGCATATCCTAGATTATTGTTTTCTAAGTCTTCATTTTTCATTTGTTCTTAATTTTCTTTAGTTCAGAATGTGTTGGCTTGTTTGAATTCTTTCAGATTGTTTTATTTTGTCAACTTGGTTCAGATGGTCTGGCAGGGATCAGAAAATCAAAGTAAAAAATATGGCTAATAGCTGTTCGAATGTGTATGATTTACCAAAGGATTACGTTTTCACATAGGCTCAGGTTTTTTTTGCTTTACAAATGAAATCATAATTTGCTTGCTTATGTTTCTGATATTAAAATTAGTTTCAGTTGTCTGAAACAGTTACTAAATGTGTCCAAAAGAAAAACTAAACAAGGATATATTTGAAGGAGAGCAAATATTTTAGTGTAATAGATAACTTGCAAATAGATATTTCCTTTCTAATGTAACAAAGCTTCTCAACCTTCACTGTTAATCTGTTTGTATTTCTCCAGGTACATCTGCCCAGGGCAACCCCCTCCTGGCCTCTCTCCCAGTACCGGGGCGGCCTCTGCAGCCTCAGCTCGACCTCAAACACCTCCTACCCTTCAGACTCAATGGATCCTCACCCCTTAGCCTCTTTCCCAACTTCAATACGGTGAGTTTCATGTCATTAAAGCTGAAACTGTGAGCTTAGAGAAGAAAAATAAGTTAACAAATTCAGCCACTTTAAAGCTTCCTACATTAAAGAGTGAATGAATGCAACACTTCATTTTGTCCATCATATTATGATCTGTTTGTTTTGTAAGTAGACCTTTTGTTAAGGATATGATCTTTACTCAAGCGTATCTGCTGTGAAAGCTGCTGTTGTTATGACGGCATCTTCATCCACAGATGGGACCCTTACCACCTGAAACGTCAGCAGCAAACCTCTTGGTTTTCATGCACCTCAGCGTGACGTTCACCTTGCCTCTGTGACTGGAATTAAAAGCTAGTGCCTTTGATCCTTTTTCTGCGCTCTATGCCCATTGTCATTTTGTGTGTGCATTCGTGCAGGCACTTCAGAAGTCTTTTGATCCTACTTTAACACCCTTGTTGTGTATTGGGTTCACTGCTTTCATTGCACTTGAGAAAAAGAAAACCTTCTGCTCTGTGGTCTATAAATGGAGGATAAGCTGCAGCTTTTACACTCCAGTATGTCTCTTTTTGGAGACTGGCAAGTAAAAACAGGGAGGATACAGACATATGGCTCATTCTTTACAGCGGAGGACGGGTGGGAGGGGGTGGATGAGACAGGCGTTTGCTTCATGACGTTCATGTATGGGGGGGTCACCAACCTGCTTGTGAAAAGTTAGATCAATTCATTTGCCCCGTCGCCCACTAACACCGTCTTGTAGGAAAGCGACTATGCGAGTCGCAACGGCAGTGTGGTAAACACTTATTCCTCTAACACCCTCATGTATTTATATTAGCAGTGCAAGCTGTGGGCTGAAGTCTCCTGTCAGTGTTTTGTCTGTGTTTTACTTTGGGGAAAATTGCTGGTTCTATTTCCAGTCCATTGCACGTGCCCTGTGGTTCTTTTCAAAGTAATTTGTTACAGTCACAGTTTGCTGCTTTTGCATTTACTTTTGCTCATTCCGTTAGACAAATAACAGTAATTGTTATGGCAATAGCTACTTTAGAAGAAAAATACAATTCGAAGTGAAGGAAGTACATTGCTTTGGAACAATATTCACATCACTTGAATTTTTTCCACGTCTTGTCCACTCTTAGTGACAGTTTTTGGAGGGATTTTAGGTGAAATGGTGCATGATTGCAAAGTGGATGGAAAATACATGTTTTTAAATTTTTATGAAAAATTGAAAAGTGTGGTATGTCTTTCAGACACTTTTTCACTCTTATACTCTGAATGTAGAGTAACCAAATGTTTTCACATCTTACAAAGACATGGCTGTCGACCTAACCTCACAAGTAGGGAAAGAAGTGCATTACTCAGAAAAATAGCCATTGTCTGGAGAAGCAGCAGACAACTACGGCTTAGCTGGAGAATCTTTTGACAACATAATAATTAGTTTTATAGTGCTTTACGACAGAGTTGTGCGAAGACCATTTGTTGAAAGAATTTGGTGAAAGAAAAGGCATAAGAAAGCGTTCCCTTTTATCAAATATGGTGATGATAGTGTCATACTGTGGACTTCTTTTGTTTAGCAGGAAAAAAGTTGCCATTCAGAGCTATCCTGAAAGAAAATAGTTTGAAAATGCGAGGCTGGAGGCTAACTATAGAAAAACTACCCTCTTTTCAGTTTTTCTTGAAAACATCCATCATCTTCCTTACATTTCACAACAATTAGCTACTTTTTAATCAATCTTTCTTGTAAAATCCAAATAAAAGTCATGCAAGTTTTTGTTTTAGTTTCAAATCATACAAATACACGTGATTGCTGTGTAAGTAGATTTTCCATGAGAAAAACACAGCGACAATTTAGAGCTGGTATGAAGGAAGTAGGTCAGAGAATGTATGGAAACCTTTTGATGGTGTAACAATATAACATCATATCACTGTTACTTCAGTGCCAGAACAAGATGATTTCCCCCGTTATGCACGGCCTGGCAGTACAGCTGCAGCATTAATCACAGCATTCATTCAGCTCGGAGTGCCAAGTTCTTTTAGTCCTGATAAGGCATTCGTTGCAGCCTGCATTTCCAGAGGGGAAGATGAATGCACCTGTCTTCAAACCCAAATAGTCTCCAGTTACCCTGGTGTCCCTTCTTATACAGTCTCTTCACATCTCTGTCTGCTTCTTTCTCTCAACCTTTACTGAAACCTCAGCACGGACTGAGCCGCCTGGCGCAGGACAAGTCCTGTCTGCGCCTGAATAGCAGGGGGAGAGTGAAGCACTGGGACAAAAGAGGCATTTATAGCCGTCGGTTCAGGATGGCTGCAGACAGACAATGGACACATTCTTCAGTTCCTAAAACAAATATCTGTGAGTGCAGCCTGCCCTGAAGAGCTGGACAGAGGGCAGCAGGACTGGGAGAGCTACATTTCAGTGGTTGTGCTGTAGCTGGTGAGGAAAAAAGAAAAAGTTTACTCCCAGAGGTAGCTTTGAGTCATATAACACAGACCAAAATAGAGCAGCTAAATAGTCTACCCTGGGGGAGACACACACCACCAGCATGGCGGTATCTTTGTCAGGTGTGTTGATAGTGCCTCTCACACCTGGCCCTGAGGAATCCATGGTAAACTGACTCTGTTCTTTACGAGGTAGCAGCTGCTCCGAACACAACACAGCTTTGGAAGGATCTAAGGTAACATCCGAGTCAATGCTATCAATATAGCAACACTCCTTGATCTCTGGGCAGCTGGGGCTGACAGCATTGTCACCACGTTGGGTTCAGAGGGCGTGTCGGTGCTACTAAAAGTGAGAACAACCCACTCCTCGGCTATCCCCACATGCAAGCCAGGAACAGACAGGGTCAGGCCCTGTGCCAGCTGAGGATAAGATCCAGTATGATTGTGATATTTTATACCCGTCTGAAGGGTGTCATGATGGAATCAGCTGTCATTGTGGATCCTTTAATGAAGCAGTTCGCTTTCTTTGCTGTTCATTATATACCACGAGGGACTTTGTAGTGTCTTTTCACAAGCTGTTAAATCTGTATTAGTCTGTTTAAGGCATTTAGAACAATACTTTACAATTATTGATAATGAAGTAAATAGACATCTCTTTGAGATTGGGTAATTCTTCTATGAAAAACCTACTTTGTCTTTGTGCAGACAAACATGTAATAAGAAGTTATTCTGAGTATGATTTATGGAAAAGGTCAACACGGATGGAAGACACACTTAAATGTTCACGAAGTTAGATTTAGAACAATTCATAGGTGAGAAGAACAAAATGAGATCCTGTCCTAACATTACTCACAACAGGATAAATTTAAAACTGAAAACAAACCTTCAGCCCAATGCCAAAAACTGGCCAGATTCTGCTAACATGGTTGGGAATGTTTACCTTCCTGGATGGAAGTGCTATTCTGAGGTTCAATCTCATACTCATCAAAAACCTTTTTTATGAAGCAGAACCACATAAACAAATGAGCTAAAGCAAGAACTTAAATGATGCATTACTAAGAGTTTTTCTGCTACTACAGCAGAGATATGTGTGACTTCACCTCTTGTTTTAGACAAGCTGTCTTCTAAGGATTGCTTAGCACATTCAATGTATTCTAAACCCATGACCATTAAATAAGGAGCAGTTTCACAAATTTGGCTCGATTAACATTGAGCATTGAATCCCTTAGATGAAAACAATGGTTAACCCACACAACTCCTTGTTTTGTCTCACATGAAAGAAAGTCATGCAGCTACAGACAGTTTTGGTGTAAACAAAATGTTACAATAATAGCCCAGGAGGTCACAAACGTGTTGTTTTGAGAAATGATTTATTTTGATAAAGGCGCTTTATTTTGGCTGAACTGAAGGCTTATTATGGCTAAATCAAAATATCTAGATAAAATGGTAATTTACAAAAATACTTCCAAATTTCTGATTAAAATTTACTGCATAATCCACAAGGTTTCTGGTGTGAATAAATATTACCTAATCAGTGCCACTAATTGTTTTGTCAATGAATTCTGAGTTTCTAGTTTAATATACATTGATTAAAGCCTGGATGTAGAGCTTTTGAAGCCTCATGTTTAACTTGCACGTATCTGTTGTTTTTGTGACATTTCTTTATATGGAGCAACCTTAAACAAACCTTAAATTGAGGGCTATTTTTGCAGTGGGAAAAGACATAACATCTCCTTGTACTAAAAATATCCCAGTAAAATAAACCACATCTCTTTCTAAGGATTTGTAATCAAAATGCATCCACTAGTAACAATACTTTTTGTTATGTGGCTGAAAAATGCATTTAATATCAAGAAAAGCCTATCATACACAGTCACTGCAGAGATACAGAGGTATTCAGCTCATATCAAATAGCGGCAGCATGCTGATTAACAAAGAAAAGTTGTTATTTGTTCCAGATTTATGCCTTAAAACCTACTCAGCTCTCACCAAGGGAACATCTCGCCATGATCCCTATTATTTGTTTTATCCCTATTTTTTCATGATGATGGGACGTGATGTGAGGATCTTTTTCTCTTCATGCACTTTGGCTGCATGCAGGGTAACCCCAAGGGAGAGATATCTTTTGATCCTAACATTACTTTATGGCTGATGTTCAGCGCATTCCAGGAGCTACACGGTGTTAGGTTTCTGTAATCTGAAAGCAGATTTTGAAAGAATATAAACTTGTCAGAAGAATTTGATTCACTCATTAGTTAAAAATTGGTATGACAGAAGTTTTAAGACTGAGACAAAATTGTTCAGCACAAACCTACAAAATCTGAGTTTCAGACAACTGAAGCAAAAAGCAAAAACTGGTCAGGGTAGACACTTCATACAGAGGGAGTTTAAACTTCCTTAATCAGCTGGAAAGTAGAAAGTGAGGAATTTTTATTTATGCCCTGCTAAACATGCATATATTTAAAATCAAACATAACTGATCTATCCAGACTTGAATAATAAAGAACAAAAGACTAGCAGTCTTTGCTTAGATATTTTTTGGTCTCCATTGCCAAACATAATCTCATTAGACGTGAGACCACAAAAACTTTTTGTGAATGGAGTTGTTTTGCCATTAAGAATTGAGATACCTGCAGCAATAAATTAAGTGCATGACTTCCAGTCACTAGGAGGGATGTATGATGCAATCCCAGATGTCTGCATTATGGGAAGGTAGAAGCAGCAGAAGTGTTTTCACCTGTTCAACAGAAGCAGCATTTTATATATAACTCCCATTTGAGACTTGTAAAGTTATCTTTTAGAAAGTGATAATTGCACCAGACATCATCATCCAACAAACTTAGCTGAACAGTTTTACATGTGCATCAATTTAACATACAATGCAAATCTGCACAGTCTTAATGTTAATTATATTAATCCATAAAAGAAATAAGAAGACCAACTTTTTGTTTTTAAAAATGTTGATTGCAGAAATGTTCTAAAGTCGTAAATCACTAAAGGCTTAATTCAATGACAATGCACCTTTCTTTAATCCAGACTCTCTTAGCCAAATTTCAAACTATGTCCAAAGTTTGGCTTGAGATCTGACCACAACTCTGGAATGGAGCAAATATTCCCTTCAGCACCAGAGAACCTGACTGCACCTATTTATTGGTATTGGCATTTATTGGTACATCAATTGATGTCGACAAAAGATTTACAATGATTCACAACACTCTTGTAAAATACAGTTTTAATATCAAGGAGGTCTTTTTTTTAATCCTGATTAGATGAATGTTGACTATTCAGACTTTTTTGTTCACTTTTATAAAATATTGGATGTTTAGTTATTATTTTCTTTTCAGGAAAAGGGATGAATAAAATCACTGTTAATAGTGCAGACTATTATTATGTGTCATTATCCAGTAACTTCACTGATTTCACATCATGACAAACCCAGTAAGGCATCTAGAAAAAATGAAATTAGAATAAAATAAATTAACTTTATGGTCATTTTTACTAAAGTGTTAGTAAAACTATTTAATCCTTAGAACAAAATTAATAAATACTTTATGTGTTATATTTACTGCGTACATATTTAAGGAGTATTAGCAATATTTGCTTTGCAGAGATAGATTTTGCATCGTCTGCTGCTGTGTTTTAGACTCTGTAAATGTGCAGCCTCTTGGCTTGACAGGAACATGCTGCTTGTGTTGATCTTTGCTGTCTGTGTCTCAGATGGACCCTGTCCAGAAGGCAGTGATTAACCACACATTTGGGGTCCCTCAGCCTCTCAAGAAGAAACAGATCATCTCCTGTAACATCTGCCACCTGCGCTTCAACTCAACGGTAAGAAAATATAATTTTTTTCTGTGTGAGGAAGATGGGGGAAGAGTAGCAATAAAAGGAAGAAAGAGACATTATGCTTTTTGACTGCATAATGTACACTGACTGCATCACCTTTTGTGAACAATGGGTCTACCTCAAGAGAAAATTGTTCTTTGGAATGGTAGTATTTTTCTTGATTGTTTTCACTGGAAAAAAGAATGTTTCTATGACATGCAGAAGAATCATGGAAAACAGAACAAGGAGTCATTGCTGCAATGTAAACATTGCTGTTTTGTGTTGTGTCTTGTTTTTCTAATGAAACTTTGTAAAGATGGAAAAACGTTGTGCTGTCATATTCTTTAAAAAAAAAAGCTTTCTCCTCCAACATTTGCAAATATGCTTTACTCCTTTAATACTGTAATTGTCCAATAATAATCCTTAAACATAATCCTAAATTCTGTGAGCTTTACACTGCCTAACATTAAGCTGAATTTTGTTTTATGTCCACTTCATGGAAGATGGGAAACTATATTGGATATAGTAGCATTTTATAAATTGGAATAATCTTTCTCACTGTAAAATAGTGGAATTCAGTTAAACTGGAAATTGTTACATGACTCTTTCCTTATTTAAGAGCAGGAACAATTGTTTCTCTAATGCCGTTGCTGACATTTTCTCCTTTCTATTGTAGAACAATGTAAGTTGAAACTCCACACTATCAAAATAATTTCTTTGACAAACGTGTTCAAATCAGTCACATACATTTTGTTTGCGTCATCTGGCTGCTACCTTCCATTCTTAATTTTATGCTTTTTTTTTTGTTTTGTTTCAAACTGAATTGTGGTGTGCTGGAGCCTTGATTAGGTCAAAAAGGCCATATATAAGTAGCATGGGGTTTTTGGTTTTGTTCTTATGTGTAAATCTTTATTCAGTTTTCATTTAGGTGAAATTTTATGTGTTTTGGTGACAGTTGTGTTGGCGAGAAGGCTTAGATTGCAGCCGAGATTCCATTTATCAGCAAAGTGCAAAAAAAACAAAACAATCAGCAGCCACAGCAGGATGCAGATTTCTCAGCTGCTCTATCCATCCTTTGTACAGCACATGCATTGCATATATGGAAACAAATTAAAAAGCATTAAACAGTGTAGAAAGATGTCTTCCATCCAGATGAAGCTAAAATACGAAAACAGCCAATTGTTTCATTTGGACTTTCGTCTTCAAAAGGTTCTAGAGAAAAAGAGGTAAGAAAGAAGAGTAAGAAGTAGGCATTCTCTCTTTTTTGCACACTTGAAGGAAAAGGTCAAGTTGACTATAACTTTATTAGTGGCTTGAACAATACTACATATACCTCTCCAGAGTTTTATGTATATGCATTTTAAGCTTTACATGATGCACAATGTTCTAAGAGAAAATTCCCTAAGTGTTACTCTGATTTAACAATCTGTTTGTAGCAGCAATTTGTGACATTTAAAGTTGTCTTTTTAGAAATCATACAAAACGATTAAATTTTTATCAAATCCCATCTAAAACTCATAAATATTGTTACCACTGACCTCTCTGGTGTTCCTTAGTTGGAGTGATATGTTTGAAATGTTCTCTAGCAAATCCCCATGACCTTCACACAACAGTTTTATTTTTACTTTTACAGTGAATATGTGACTTTTGAAAGCAATCTGTTGAACTGGGTTTTTATTGTGTTCATTTAAATGACATGAACACATATGGGGTGAAAAATGCCTCTAAATACCTTTAAGTTTGTGGTTGTGTCAAAATTTAAAAGAAAGAAAAACTGAGGATACATACTTTTGCAGTGCAAGTTTATTTACATCAGTGCCCATTGCTTTTTGCATAGATCCTTTTTCTTTTTTGAAAGCCTTTTCCTGGTGATTTATTTTTCTAATGACCACTTCTCCCTCTCTTTAGGGTGTCTAATATCCATGTGGGACCTACTTGAAATATGGGTTCAAGATACTGATGATCTTGTTCTCTCTATATATCTATGTATTTTATTTTTCTGTATAAAATCTGGTGTCTCACTGATTAACCAAAGCAGCTGGCACTTCAGTTTAAATTCTATGTCTGTCTATTTTCCACTAGAGACTGGACTCAGAGGCTCTTTAAGTGAGTGGAATGGCGCTAGCTTTACACCCACTCACCATATATAAGTCCACACGATGTGTACAGCCCCCACCCCCGTTTCCTTTCATCCCAGGGATTTCTTGATCACTGGACAATCTAGAATCCTTTTGATGAGCAGCACATCCTCTTGTAGTTTCTCTTGACTGAGCCACAGCTCATTTCACGCCTTGTCCTTCTGCCTCCTTTGAGACCCAATTGGATGGCTGCCGGTGAGGAGGCTGAACTATTCACAACAGGCTGTGGAGTCAGATGACATGCTTATGTATTTTTGTCTGAGTTGGTTTCTCTGAGCTAATGCTACCTGCGCAGTAATCAGTCATATTGGTAACTCTCAGGCGATCAGATTTACTGGCATTTTGCTCCAAGTGAGAAAAGCCTTGATGAATTTGCCTGTCTGATATGTTTTTTCTGGATGTTTTCATTTGATCACAGAATGTCTCCTCTTTCTTTTTAGTTGCTGCTGAAATGGTAAACCTCTGCCAATGTGATACTACCCAGAGGTCAAAATATGCAAAACAGAACTCACGCTAAATCCACTTTTGTTTCTATATTCCACACTCTGAATCCTTAGAAGTAGGAAAATAGTCACCTTATTTGGCATTTTGTGTTGTCTGTAGTGATTTTAAAGACGTACTCCCTAGCGTGCAGCTCTTTAAGTCCAAAATGATGTTCTGTTCACACCAGTGGCTGATGAGCGCTGATCCCCAGAGGTTGTCTTGGCTTCTAATGAGTGATCTGTGCATTGATTTCTTTGCTATTTTTATGTATCATTGCTTTATGTAACAACGTGGCTTTTGTTCTCCGATTGAACAGGGTCACGAGAGTGATGAAAATGGTAAAGTAAATTTTCTTTCCACTCGAAAGGAAATTTGCGTGCTTTTGTTGCTGCAGTCTAGTCACTCAAAATATGTTTTAAGTCTGATTTGTGTTTGTGTGCTTATGAGGGCCTTATATGTGTGTAACATTAGTATGTATTGCCAAGTGTGTCTGGATTTTGCAGAGGCTGACTCTCACAGTGCACATTAATAGGGTAGTTGTAGAGATGGAATCCTCTCTCTTGTTGCATATTACACATGCAATTATACCTCTGGCCTCCCAGTGTGCCAGCTCTGTTATCAGGTGGAAACAGACTCTCCTTCTTGCAGCCTCCGGATGCCTGTGAGAGAGAATTTTTGGGCAAGTGCATTTGAACATTTCTTGCGCACAGGCTCTGGTCTTTGCAGCAGATATGGCACTAGGTTCTCTATGCTTCTTCCCTCTAACATGTCTTTTTCTTCTTTTCCATTTTCCCACAGAACCAAGCAGAGGCCCACTATAAAGGCCACAAACACGCCCGAAAACTCAAAGCCATGGAGGCCCAGAAGAACAGGCAGCGACGAGGTGGAGAGACCTCAACTACAGGGAAGGAGCGGGAGCGGGAGCGGGAACGAGAACGAGAACGAGAACGAAACAAGGCAATCCCTTCTGATGCACCTCTTCCAGCACCTATGGACACAAGCTTAGTAAAAGAAACAAGTAGGTGCACAGACAGAAAGTGAGAAATGTGAGAAAGTCCAACCTGAGACTGGAATTCATTTCTCTGCCCTCTTCACATTATGAATGAACTGTAACACATTTTCTTTCCTTCTTTTATTTTAAACCCACTTGGTAGTCCTCAAGTTAGAGATAGACTTTCAAAATGCATTTTGAGTACTTTGTCTTTTATAATTCTTCATTCAAAGCACTTTTTAAAAGCATATGAAGTGTTAGTCTGCTCTAATTTGTAATTGGCAAGACTTACACAGAAAATGAGAAGCAACTGCAAAAGCACAACTCCTTCTGTTTTTCAGTGTCGATCTCAAAGCTAAAATGAAATTATATTATAGCTTCACTATACCAGCTGAAATATATAAAAACAGAAAAAAACAGAACGCTAAGCCAAAAATTAGTCTGCAACTACAAACCTTTCTAGGTTTTCTCTAATTGTTAGTAATGCCTTGCTCAAAGTTCCAAAGCATTAGAAAAATCTTTCTGGTCATTTCCGGACTGACAGTTATCAGCGATTTTATTTTCTCATCTATTCTTGATTTTATTGTTTTGTTTTTGTCTAGATCAGGTCATATTGCCAGACAGGGTCCATTTAAGGGCTATCTTGACTCTATAGGTCTTTCAGTGATTAGCCCTGGTGTTTCTATTGAAACTGAATACAAGCATTGTGGTTCATCTTCTGATGATCTAATTAAGAGAACAATTTCTCTGGTTTCCTCATGTAATATTAAAGCTACACAAAAGAAATTGGCACCAAGAATCAGCAGACCTTAGTTTTAGATATTATGGGGTTGGTACCTAATTTCCAGATTCCTGATAGTTAGTTGCCGTGTTGCCCTCTGAATTTTAGCTGCAACATTATTTAAATGATGGCGTTAGGTGCAGAGAAAGATAAGACATCAAACTTTGGATTTGACTGCATTTTTTTTTCAGTTATTTTGCTGGAAGATTTGTCTGAAAAGCATTGAAGGGAATGTTTAACTCAAACTCCATTGAACTGTTTTCAATTGTATAATGATGGGATATGTAGAAGAAAGTTAATAAACTTTAATTTTAAGTAAAACATTTATGAGTTCACTGCTCTCAGCCTTGTGTCTAATATTAGGTTCCAAAGTTTTCAGACTATGGTCTGGGATGTTACGTAAACAACCTGGCTTGCTGAGATCGATTGGACTCTCTCTGTTCTTTTACCCCATTTTTTTCTTGATTTCAATTTCTTGACTCCCCATTACTCTCTTCTGCTCCCCCGTATTGAAGTTGGAATGAGAGGATGGTGACAGGACCAGAATTGGTGTGTTTGAGCACAATAACGGCACAAAGTGCTGAATGAGCCATGACGGAGCAGAGCAGTGCAGAGGGGGTTTCGTTTTAATGGGTTGTCAAAAAAAAAAGAACTAACGCTGAACAATATCAAAGACACTCATCTACTTCTACAAAAAAGTTCAGTGGTGCCGATATAGATATCTAGTATGTTACAGAGGAAGTGTAGTTCTTTTTGTTTTCAGCAAGAAAAATAAATGTGAACTTCTCTACTGCAGACAGCTGCACCTTGACTTCTATGAACCTGAATTGTTTCTTTGGTATTTTGACTGCTACGTAAATCCCATTAGCTTCTCATATTGCCCTTGTCTGGATCCAGACTTTAATTTATCATTCTGAAGCAAGGGGACTGTGCCAGTGCTATAGCAGTTTTTTTTTCCCCTTCTCATTTCCTCTACCGTTTTAAGTTCCCTGTCTCAGAGAAGATCTCTAGCTATGCAGAGTTTTTAAATGAAGACAGAATATCTGAAAAAAGAGAAATATAAAGGTGCTCTTGGAGAGGAATGACACTGTTTATCCTCCAACATGGATAGTTTAGAAATGGACACACACATACAGACATTTTCCCCTTGAGTGCCAAGAGTCTCCTTCAGAAAGGAGAAATCAGACAAAAGACCCGGAGCCTGATAACGTTCTCATCAAATATAATTTTAATATTCTGCTGTTCCAAACGCCCTGAAAGAGGAAAGCTCGGTAGAGGCGAAACGAGACAAGATGAGTGGAAAATGTAAGATAAGGTGAAATGAATGAGAGAGAGCGAGAGAGAGAGAAACGAATAAGAAAGGGAAAGCACGAAAGAAGTAGATAAGTCATAGCTAATTTTTATGCTGTGAATAATTTTGCAGTTCCAAGGCAATTTTGTGCCAAAGAACACTCTTTAATAAACTCAATTGTGCGACTGGCCTGATGTGAAATTGAAATGCACCAGAGTGAGCCAGTGCTAGCATCCCGCACAATGCCAAACTGGGATGGAAACGCGCTCCAAATTAATACTTGATGAAATGAATTACATCTGCCATGAAAATAAAAGCTGCTGGGGAGCTTTGAGAGGCTAATGTCCGGAGTGTCTGTTCTCAGGAACCAATAAGATCCCCATCGGTGGTTCAGTGAAGTATGCGCAGTGTCTGACTCAGAACAAAACAAAATATTCCTCTGGACCCACAAGGTCAGCCTCTTGGGTGCAATGGAAATAACTCCTGAATAATATGAACATAAGGGACAGCTTCTTTTCATAAATGACTGTTTTGTTTCTGCATATGACCAAAATAATAAAATAACAGCGGCTCATCATTTCACATCCCTTCATTATTTTTTTAGAAACACTTCATATTCATACTCACAGCCTTTCGATGGACTTCTGTAAGAGAGTTTTGCTGTTCCAAACTTCCTCTTGGGATAATAACTGCAGTAAATATTTGTTTAAACATGCTTTTGTAATCAGTGGACACAACTACACAAAATTACTTAAATGTACTATGTGTTATCATTTTCGCTGTGAATTGTAGGCAGTTGGTTTTAAAATCGAACATTATGCAAAATTTTAAAAAAACGTTGGCATTCACATTTAACCCTCTGTTGTACACTTATCCTGTAGCATTTTATAAGTATATAAAATACTCCAGATACATGGAAATTTTACGAAGTCTCCTTACACACTCTTTGCAGATCATCCCGAGTCCAGCATCCACCTTATTATCTCTTCTCTTCAACTCAGCACCCAGTTTTAGTATAATATTTACATCTGTCAACTGCAATGACCTACAAGGTCATTTTTTGTCTATTAAACCATTTCACTGATGATTTAAGTATATTTTCTGGATAATTACTCATTCATTTTAGCTTTCTGGCAGTGACTACAGCATTATAATGTAAAATGTATTGGTGTCTAAAAGAGTTTTAATTATTATCTATTCTAACATATTTTCCAGCTTCCAGAAAGAGAAACAGTGCTGCAACATCACTGATCCTCCACCGAGCAAAAGAATATGAAAAACGTTGCTGAATTACCCCATTTGTTTAAAAAATTATTATGCAATTTGTACTTATTTTTAACTTCTAGCAATAAGTCCTTTTACATATGCTAACGGACATAGTCTCTCAAATACTTCCCAATCTCATTTGGGATTGGGAAGTAGTTTGGTATTTTCACTGGTAGTAGTTAAAATACCAATCAAAATATTTTGATTGGTATTTTATCAAATCGAGCGCAACAAGTCATCCATCTGGGAAAGAGAACAAGGGGATAAACAGAAATGAACTTTCTAGTCACACAAAGAGACAGATCGATTCTTATATAGCATGCCTCAGACTAACAAAGGACAGCCGTCTACCAAGTGTAAGAGTGCCAAGCTGGCGCCAGGAGACTGAGAGCCACCATCAATCATGACAAGCATCAATCACCGCCAGCTTTGATTGACTCCGCCGCCGAAGTCATCTTTTGCAGGGACTCTGTCTGTCACCGCAGTAATGATGATCTAAAGCAAGGATTTTTCCCCTGGGAATTTGTTTATGTTCAGAGGCTGCCTCGGATCAGTGCTCGCCTACTAAATCAAGCGCTCAGCGTCTTGAGTGTAGAAGCAAGCGTGTGTATAATGAGTCCAATTTTCATTAGCTGTCTGTCTGTGCTTTAAGTTCTTAGCCGATCACTCTGCTGGCTGGTAATCTCTCAAGATGTTTACATCCATAGAAACATATTCAGATGGACTGTTGAAAACATAAATCAAATTATTCTCTTGTTAAAGTTACTCATGATTGCTTGTACAACATCGATCCAGATGCTCTGTAATCGATGGTGTCTACTTCTATTCCTCAGAGGACCAGCTGCCAATGGACTGGTCTTGGCCTGACAGTTCTGACAGTTCTCTCCTTTGTTTTCACTATTATATTAATACTTAGAGGACACATAAAACATCTGAAAGACAGAAATTATGCAAGACTATCAGAGTCACGCAATTGATAAAGTAGGTAAAAACAAATATAAGAATTCTGTAACATGTTCTTGCTAGCACTGCACTAGTACAATAATCCTGTAAAAGCTCCCTTTTACGGGGATTTTATTCCTAGCTATTTTAAATAAAGCATTGTGGATAAAAGGAGAATAAAGTAAAATTCTGCATTTTTATTCTCCTTAAATATGATTAATCTGAAAGTGAAAATGTTCAACTCCCAGCAGGAAATGAAGATCTCCCTCTGATCTGTACCCAGGAATTTTTAGAGAATTTTCAACCTCTCTGTCTTCTGAGGTTTATACTAAACCCACTGATCAGTATCATTTCCCACCACAGACCTCTTAGGTGGCCGTGTATTTCACAGATCATTCCTACCTCCAGCCCTTCCCCCCTACCTCTGGAAAAGCTCTCCAATCCCTCAAGGGTCACACTCATTACAGCAAGGGGAATGTCTAATCTTGCTCATATAGTTTCTTTTACCTGGAAAGGAATGAAAAAGGAAGACCCTTATCTCCAATGATGAATTTACTCTAAGACATAAAAAGGAAAATCAATGGAGCACGGTCTCTCTCAGGTCGACTCTATCCATGTGCGGGTGTGTGTGTGTGTGTGTGTGTGTGTGTGTGTGTGTGTGTGTGTGTGTGTGTGTGTGTGTGTGTGTGTGTGTGTGTGTGTGTGTGTGTGTGTGTGTTAAGCTCACTAAATGAAATGGAGATATTCAGTGAGCATAGCAAACAACACTCAGTGCTCTGGAGTGAAGTGTGCTTGATTCCCATGGGAAGACAACAGAGGTGAAGGGGGAGTTGTAATGGAACTGCAGTGACTTATCGGCGGGACTCTGCAACCGATGGGTTTGTTTATATTGAGTGAAACTCAAGACCCACTTGATATTTGAAGAGTAAATGTGAAGAGCAAAGGTGCAAAAGAAGAATAAAAAAATGGCTTGTGGCAAATACTTCATTAAACCAAAAAAAGTTAATGAATTATTAATGTTGCATAAAGTAGTACTAATGGGGATTCTAACCCCAACGCATTAAGATGTTTCGTTCCCTGTATTGAGGAGTCTTTAGCCAATAGAGTGTCTCAGACTGATACCTGATTCAATTGTTTTAGTTTCCCTAAAATCAATTATTTTCATGTGGTAGAAAGCTCAGTAGCATTAAAATGCAGTAAAATTCATCCAGTGCGATATGGGACTGTCAGATCACTGTTCTGTCCAGAGCATCCAGGGAGCTTCTTTTGATTAATAAAATTTAAAATGAATGATGAAAATATTACTTTCATCATTTAATATTTAAAGTGCCTGTTGCCATGTGTGGAATACAATGGCCATTCTTTCTTCCCATCAATTCAGCCTATTTGTTCTGATATGAATTGTTGATAATTCAGCTAATAGTTTTTAGTGCAGGTTGACTTAATTGAACAGAAAAACCTAAACAAAAGTTGTTCTTTTGCTTAAACAGTTTTGCTTAAACTTAGAACTGTGCTTTGAATATAATCAAATTTAATGACAATTGTTTCCGCTGCATAATGTACTGCGAATTCAAAGTGATCATATTATTGTAATATATGAAAAACAATTCATTATTGATTCACTGGATCAACAAAAATAACTTAACATAGAGTACGACACGGTTGGGTGCATGACTGCTACATTGAACCAATAACAGATTCTTAGTACTGTTTCTTCAGGGACTGATCGTTTAAAAATAATCTTAATATTTGAGATCAGCTATGGATGTGTCGAATGCTGAGTTAGCTTAACTACACATCATTCCACATCATCACTATCTGGCATCTAAGCCTAACAGTTTTGGAGTTAGCAATGATGTTCTAGATATTGTGTGTATAAATTTGGTGGAAAGGGTAATAAGTTTTAATGTTTGTATTGTATTGGAATCAAAATATTCTGAGAACTGTAGAGGTTTGTGAGTATTTTCTTTAACATTTTCGAAAACTACAAGATAATTGCGAACTATATGTGATGAATGTATTCGGCGTAAGGCCAAAAAGGTTATTGTTGATCCTTTATACATTCTTTACAATGATGTTTTGATATGACCTTCAGGGAGACGTCATTAGAGAAATACCAGCAGCAAACAAAAATATTTATTCTAATTCCTTTGTGTCGAGTGCATTTAAAAAGTAAATCGAAAAAGATTTAACCATTGAGAAATTATTTATTTTCTACATGAATATGCAAAGATAATAACCTTGAAATATATGTATATTTAAAATTATTTCATACATAATGTATTTAAACATGACTCACGTACATTTTGTTTCATATTAGGGCATATATGATTAGTTGTTTTTTTTCCATTTCTAAAGTAATCTGTGAACCTGCAAATTCATTCTTTGGTCCTATAAATTTCTATATGTGTGGACAATAAATTGTACACATTTGCATGTGTTTTTTATTCAACAGTCACAAAAAACTAGACTGAAAATATAGCTAATAAAGAAGACAAAGTGTGAAAGAAAAGAAAAGCTCTGGAAGTCTTTCAACATCTATTAAGAAACTAACTTTCATGGTTAGTTTATCTCAGCATTTTTTTCTTCAAACCAGCTACAACAAAAATGAAATAACAGATTGCATTTCTGCACCTTTGATCTGGCCGTATGGCCTTAATTTAAAAGAAAGTACATCAGCCTCTTTACAAAGTGAAAAGTGCCAGTACTTTCAAAGTTAGTCCTATTCTGAACATCCAGTTTGCTGATATTCACCTTTTCTTTTCTCTTCTACTTCTATACAGGTCTTCAGTTTGATCTGGAACCAAGCATCCTGGAGGGAAAACTGGAAGAGAGTCCCAGGAGCTCGGTCATGCTGACACCGGTGTCTGAGGTTTCCTCTGTGGAGCTGGTCACGCTTTCCCCTCCTCAGATTTCGCCTTCCTCTCAGCTCTCTGAGACGACGTCAGACACCAGCACTTCGGAGGGTGCAGAGGCCGCCGAGGCCGCAGAGCCCACAGAGCCCACTGATGCGTTGTGTCTGACCGGCGAGTCAAGTAATGTTGCAGACTCATCTATCACACCAGGGGAGCCATGCATGGATGACAATAAAGACCCCAAGAAGAGCAAAGCTCACCTCCACTGTCCTGTCTGTAAAGTCACAGTCAACTCCACCTCCCAACTGGAAGCACATAACAGCGGTACGATCAACTTCTGACCCTGATTTGTACACATTTCTTCATGTTTTGAAAAGCCACTTACATTTGCCATTGAAATTTCTTTAGAAAAAGGCTTTGGATAACAAAGAGCCTGTCAAATTTCTGGGGGGTTTTTTCTTTCTTTTTTTGTCCATCAGGTACTAAGCACAAATTGATGCTGGAAGGTCACAGTGTTCTGCCGCGCCGTAGGGGGAAAGTAGTGGCAGCTCGAGCTGGCTGCAAGAGTAAGCGGCTGGGGAGCAAAGGCAGCGTCGGGGTGCCTAGCAAGAACTTCCAGTGTGAAGTGTGTGAAATATTTGTGAACTCTGAAACCCAACTTAGCCAGGTAAAGATTAAATTGCAATTCATATATGTTTAAAACTTTGAGCAATATGTATATATTTTAATTCGGGAGTTTGCTGCATATGGGGCAACATCCACTGACCAGTCTGGGTTCCCTTTCAGCTTGGTAATGCAGTCTGCCAAAGCAAACGGGGTTTGTCACATGATTGATGAGCACAATACCCGTAGGACTCCGGCTTGTGTTGGTAGCAAAACTGACCAAAACACCATTAGGAAGATAGTCTGAGCTTGACTAATACTCTGGACTTCCAAGCTTTTTTATTCTTTTGAAATGTAAAATGAAAGTGCATAAAAGGATTGGGAGAAGTCCCACAGATTTGTGGAGACATACCAAGGGAGAGTGCTGCCAACCTGATATGAGTTTGTAAAAAAAGGCCATAGAAGTGATGTTGACTCTGGGAAACGCACGAAAGTCCCAAATCACCTGGCAGTGGAGAACAGGTTGCTCACAATTTCCTCAAACCCGCTCCACGGAAAAACGATTTAGCTGCAGGATTAATCAGAAAACCGAAGCGCTTGCAGATCTTTATCCACTACAATGAACACTTGGAGCTTAAAATTGCATGTTTAGCTTGACTTTACATTTACCTCTAATCGACTGCATTAAATTTGGTTAGATTGGTGGTAAACATGAAAAGTGGAATTTTAAAGATGATTTAATCCAAAAACTAATTTTAACTTTGATGGAAGTAATCTGTGGCGCTTTCTTTAATAGCTCAGACACATGAATAAAGCTATTAAGACTACATTTAAGTGCTATTTTTACCGTCTTATTAGTTTAACAAAATGTCCAGTGAGCAGGCGTTTATTTGCCACTCATTGCAAGCTACTATGCTTTATGTGTTTCTTCTGGATGTATTACCATCAAACCACAGTCAGGAAGTAATTTTTCTCCTTTTGATGTTCACTTAATACTATTTCTGTGAGTCATGAGACTGTCTACACTGGAGTGCAATGTGGAAAAATAACAGAGAATGTGCTGGCATGTGTATGAGCGCCCAGTCTGCTTTAGCCCTAAATGCATTCCACCAGTCTTTTATAAACATCCTCGTTCCCAGGAGGACAAAAGCCTGTAAGGTACCGCAGCCAGCAGGGCAGCTTTAATAAAGTAATGCAATGTAATTTCTGTGCACCTCACTCGTACCCAGCATGTAGTTATTATTCAGTGGACAACATTTGAGGTTGTTCCGCTGTGGTGCGACAGATGCTTGTGAACCAGCTAATGGTATTTCTCCTGGTCTCGGCAGCACATGAACAGCAGAAGGCACAAGGATCGGCTGGCCGGAAAACCACCCAAACCCAAATTTACCCCCCACAGCAAGAGCCAGCCGAGCTCCAGCTTCACGGTGAGTCTCAGGCCTGAAGACGTGCACAAATATGCATAAAGACAAACGAGAAACAATTCTGTTTTTTTCACAGCAGAGAATGCTTCAACACGGTGTATATATTTGCCAAAACTGGATCGTTTCAGTTCCACTCTGAGAGCTAACGGTGTTTTTATTGCAACTTTTTATAACATTGAGGACATAAAAAACATAGAATCCCATGGCTTTTAAAGGTCTCTACAGTGTATCATGTTGTGACAGCATGCCTGTGTCTCTGTAATGTCAGAGAGGTTAAACACACTCTTATAGTCGGTGAGTCCCCGACCCCTGAGACAAGTCTAAATTAGTCCTGCTCTCCCCGCTGTCCAGCTCTGGCAACAGCAGCCTGATTCAGCACTCCAAATTAATCACTTTTCTACTCCTGTCATATACACACTTCCCCCACCTCTCTCCTTTCTCCTGCTCCTCTTCCTCCTCCTTTATCCTACAGAACGTGAGATGGAGTGGCTATGCAGGTGTGGCTGTGTCTGCCATGAAGAAAGCATTCACCCAGTGCAACCTCACTTCTCTCTCCTCGCAGGTCAGTAGCAGGCAAAGCTGAGACTGCACTTTGGAATTGGAAGGAGAGACTTGTGCTGGATGAGGTTTAGGCCTGACTATGGCCAGGGGACTAAGCAAAGAAAATAAGGAAGCCACTTTTACATTAAAGTACATTAAAGGGGTAGCTCTGATATTTTTTCACATTGTAGCTATTAATATCATGGTCTGTAGCTCACAAAGTTAAAGATTACAAAAGAATTTTACCTTCATTACCAGCATAGTGGGACCTGTTTATATAAGTGTATAAGATACATTTTTAGCAAAAAAGAAAAACAAACACTTTGGGACCTCAAGCTTCTTCTATAATTTAGGAAATTATATAAATAATTAAACAGTTTATATCTCAGATGCACAGCACTTTATAAAACTATTCATGCCTCTTAAAACTTTTGTCATTTTTTCACATTGCAGCTACAAACTTCAACAGATTTTAGGTAATAGACCAACTATTGGTTTGGAAATGATACATGGTTTTCAAAGATTTTGTAAATAAAATTTGAAAAGTGTAGAGTGCATGTGTATTCAACCTTCTTACTTTGATACCTCTAACCCTGAGCATTCAGCTGCCTTCAGTTGCCATCCTAATGGTAATGCATAAGCTGGGTCATTAACAAAGGTGTTTGAAAAGTTTAAAGCTTGCTTATTCAACAAGCTATATCGAAAAAACAAAATGGTAAATAGCTCAAAGAGATTAAATGAAACTGTTTTTGTTACATGTGTGAAACTGCGCATCAAGCTAAAGCACACCATGCACATGCTGAAAATATTTTTGCGGAAGCGTTATGCTCTGGGGAGCTATGTTGCGCAACATCTATTAGCAAAAGCATAAAACTAGTCTAGTGGTTCCACAATTATTCATTCATGTGGGCTGAATATAAATGCATGTTCAGTTTTTTTCACATTTTTATTTATTAAAGTCCATGTGTTTGTTATAGTTGTGAAATGTTTAAAAGCTTGTGTCATTTTTCTTCCACACAATTTTGTTGGAACTTAGTGTTGGTCTGAAGGCCTGTTAAAATCCGTTTAGTGGTTATTATGTGGCAAAAAGTGAAAAAAGTCAAAGGGGTGTGAGTACACTTGTGATTATTTTTTTTAAGAAGGGCATTTTAACTTTTATTCTCCCTAGAATTATGAAAAGGTAATGAAGATAAAATCATTTTTGGTCAGAAAAGTCAGTTTTATTTGTAGTTATGCCACACTTGGCTGTTTAGTTTTGCACTAGGATCTCTCTGCCCTTCCATGTGCATATGCAAAGAGCCAAAGGCAGGAGGAGCAGCAGCAGCAAACATCCCCAGAGTACAGAACAGAGCAGACGTCCATTACAACAAACGTGACACTGATTAGGTCAGACACAGTATGAAGAGCAGGAATGGATGGGCTTTGCACTGTGGCTTCCAGAGGAGGCTTCAAAGTAAGCAGTTTAAATACGCAGCTCTAGATTGAATTTACCAGTTTGACCAGGGAAGCTGTCTGCTGACATGAGCCTGAACTAATACTAATACAAACACACAACTGGAATCAACTCGAGGTTATGAGAGAATTTTATGTTGATAGGAATGTATCCAGGAATTTGGAGGCTGTTTATTAAGCAGTTTGTGGCTTTTGTTATTGTGTTAACTCCCTTTTATTTAATATATCTATGTATATAGAAAGCAAACCTTTAAGCTTTGAACAGCAGTGTCCATGAGCTGGGTAATCAGGTTAACTTCATTGATTAATCTTAAAGTAAAGTAATCTTCATAAAAGACCAGAAAAACCCTTTTAATAACTTCGAGCTTCAGAGCTACATATTTTCTTCAACTTAGTGATGAAAATGATTGTGTCCATGTCATACTCCTAGATTGTCTATTATTGTCTATCTTGTTTATGCAAGTTTGGACACCTGTGGGTAAATTCATATTTCATCTATTCTTCATGTGAAAAGAAGTAAATATAATTTGCTCAGAGGTGTTTTGCATATTCCTTCACTGCAGCTGAGTGTCTGAACGAAGGGCCAATGTTTTCGAGAAACATGTTTGCCCGATCACTGTTGTGCTCTGCCCTCGTTGTGTTCTTCTCTTGCTTCTTACCAGTCCCCCATTCCTGTCTTCTCCAGACCAAACTGGCCTTGCAGAAGCAGCTGACCAAGAGTTTGACAACTGGCTTCCTGCCCAGCCCCCTCACCCCACCAACTCTGTGCACAGTGGCGACTAACCCGCTGGCTCTGCGCCACCCGGTGGGCACCACCACCTTCATCCAGACCCCATTCCTAGGCCCTGCACTGTTCCGGCCTGCTCCGGGGCCGCTGCGGGCCACGCACACTCCCATCATTTTCTCCCCTTATTGAGGACTTAACCAATCTCCCAGTTAAGCTCCAGTCCTGTCCCTTTACCAAATCCAAGGCCCTCGTTTTAGTGTGACCACGCAACAAAGGTCACATCCAAACTATGCAGCCCACTTGACTTAAAATGGGAAGAGTGCACAAATTCCAATTTATCACCAGGCCTCATGGCCTGAGAGCGCTTCTCATCACAAAGGCCAAGATCCCTTTTCATGCCTTCTTTCTGCTCCTTCGTTGGTGACCTCAGGAGCAGCACAGGCCTCCAGACAGTGACTGGCACAAGGAGACCGCATTTATAGCCATTTCATGGGTCAACATGGTTTAAATTATAAATATTATTGTGTAATTTCTTAGAAAACATATTAGAAAAAAATCTAGATGTATGTTTAGTGTGGTTGCCACAAAATAAGGTCCCTTTACTTGATGCTCTTATAAAACCTTTTTTATCTTCTATGTTTGGAGGCTTGATGAAAAGTTGTTGTTGTAGGTCCATAAAGTAGCTGAAGCAAAGCCATATATATATGGCTGCAGAGGCCAGCCTCACTCATCAGTGTTTTCAGCTGACAAGCTTAAACAATGCTGTTGCATGGTATTGTGAATATGGTAAAAAAAAAAAAAAACATAAAACGTCTTAGTTTAAGAGTAGAGCTCTGAATTTTTATTGTGAGATTTTGTTAAAAGGTTACAAGGTGTTGGTGTCTTACCTACAGTACATGGCACATCTAAGCTGCCATCACAGATTCTACCTGGCCATGTATGCTTGCATATTTAAAAAAGCCTTACATGACTGATAACGTAATAATTAAGGCAACTTCATGGCACATTGAGTCCTACAATGCTTTTAAAGTACATGTTTAGCTTTTGATACCAACTCAGTTTGTATAGTGCATGTGTCTTGGGATCAGTGATGTGTAATTTTGGGTTCTGCTACATCAGAATGATGTACTTTTCTTTTCTATACCAAAGACTTGTATGATCTGGGAATTGATCTTCACTGGTCAGATAATTATCTGCCAAATTAATCAAAGTTATTCAGTTGCATTCCTAATACAAAACTTGTTTCATATATATAATTGGGTTATCCCTGTAATATTGTACTCGTAGTTGTGCAAAAATGCTATAGCAGTGGCACATTGTTACATGAGTGAGAAGAGGTTTATATTCCAACATGTCCTAAAAATCTGTGGCAGTCTGGTGTAGCAGACCATTAGGTTATGCATGCTATGATCTCAAATGTGATGGAAGACAATGCTGGAGCTCAATTCTCCTGAGGCAAAATCTTCCTATGCTATGGAAATGCAAGGTAGATATGTAATATTGTGGCAGGAGAATTAGCAAAGCCTTCATTTATAGATCCAGATTAGTCGGTCCCAAGCTAAAGTTAGCATATAGCTAAATGGAGCCAATGTGGGCGTCTGCTTACTTCAAAGAACTGCAACTTCAGAAATGTCACAATAATTTACGCAAATCATTTTGATCAACCCAAATCTGTTATTGTGTTAACACTGGTTAGTTACAAACATGCTGAGCATCAAAAGCATTTCTTCTCAGACTGCTTAAAACCAAAGCAGTGTAAAAATCAGAAACTGTTCAGAGGTCAATGTGAATTGTAATTTATGTATTTTTTAGACCTTCTCACATTTCTAGCAATCTATTGCAATGACTGGAAACGTTAAGCTCTAAGTTCATGTCTCGCATGGGATGATCCAGGGTCAGCCTCGATTTCCCTTGTAAATATTCATTGGCTTTTGTGTAAACAACTGCCTGATGTGAACAAGAAGATGATTTCAAAGTGTGTTTTTTGAGATAGGACTTGTTTCCAGCACTGAGGCACAGTTGCTTGCAATGCTGTCTTGCCTTGGTTGTTTGTCTTGTTGGACTGTGAAGTGTGATGTGAAACACCTGCACTCCCATGACCCTGCTAGATAAGTAAACATAGACAGGGGATGGACAGATGGACGGACTGGGGGAAGTGTTTCTTAAAGGTATGAAACCTGTTAACTTTAATCTCTGAAACCAACTAATCTGGATTTAAGATAAACAACAAAGTTAACAAATATATTACTGAAGGTAAGAAATTATCCGCCTTTTAATCTTTTAACAGAAGCTCGCTTCAAAAATTTAAAATATTCACTTTAAAGGCTCGTAAGGACAAAAGCGACCCGTCACTGTAGGTCTAAAATGGTGTATTGTTTGTGTTACAATCCAACAAAAAAAAAAAATGCATTACTGATGTCTGTTTCTTTCTTTTCAAGTAAGCGTAACAGCCCCTGCATCCAAGTTATTTTTTTTTTAAATGCACCAAGGATTAAACAGTCAGTAACATCCACAAAAGGTCAGCTTGTCAACGAAACTATTTTTCAGTTTGCAAATCTGCTCTTTGGAATCTGAATTCTTGCTTCAGAGTATTACTCATGCATGCAACCTGGGATTATGCTTTTCCTAAGGTTGCGGCATGAAAATATTTTTTTGCAGCTATTCACGTCTTATCCTGCCAAATTCCCCTTTGTTTCGCTCCCATCCTCACTTCTTTTTAACCCCATTTTCCTTTCACCTCACTGCCATCACCTTGACGTTGTCCCTGATTTTCTTCTGCTGTGATCTCAGTTTAAGCCGATGAGGAGCAAGGAAATGACACACACAATCAAAGCACATAATGAGAACACAATGGATAACTTGATGACTTGATGACTTGATGACTTGATAAGATTTTAGTGTTTGATGAAAAATTTGACAGCGGATGGGAAGGCTGCTCAGTCTCATTCTGATTGACATCCCGGTGCTGAGACTGAACGCAGCGTGTGGAAAGGGGTGTGGATGGGATACAAAGCACAGTGCCATGGCAACCACAGTAAAAAGCACCTTAAAATGGATTTACTTACAAAAGCAATGATTATGTTGATATTCTCTTGTTTTATTATTATTTGTAGGTGTATGTTTTATAAAATTCTGCTATGAAAAAAACTAATCAAGTGAGAATGATCCTGTTGCAGTTTATCTGTAAGGATGACAAGCCTCACAGTTAAAGCAATACATTCAGTAGGTTTATGTTCATGTCTGATGTGTCAATAACTTTATCTCTTCTCTGCTGTAAACTCCTCATACAGTGTATTGTGTACCCCACCACAGCCAAGGCCAATTCTGGTTTGTCAGTGAAAAGTCAAATGAAATAAAACAGTTGTGCAGCTGCTGCCCTTGATGCTCGACGCTCATGGCCAGTCTCAACATGACAAACGGGTGGCGAGGGGGGCTGCCTTAAGCGCCATATGACACTGCCGCTTCACTTTTCAGCGGAGCAGTAGGACCTCTGCATGACTTCCACTGGAAAAAAAAAAAAAGAAAAAAAAAGCGAGGAGTGATGTGGAAGTGACACATATGCAGCATCGACTTGTCATTGTGCTGTTTGTGCTCGTGCGCCGACTCCCACGCAGGATATCTGCTGACATTCTCTCCTTTCCTTATGTCGAAAACAAACTCTTGGCAAGGTCTCAACACAGAACTTGGAGCGCATGTGTCATCCTCTCCTCAGCAGTCGTACCGAATCATGTTCTCTTCAATTACAGGAACCTATGCATTTGTGCAACGTGTGTACATGTGTTTGACGCAGCAGTGCCACCTCTCGTAAATAACCTGTAACTGCCATTCAGTGCTTGTGCTTTTAACAGAACCCTCTTCATCCGATGTGTATTTGTGTTCTAAGGACTCCCAAGCCGTTCTAGGTTAGCAAAGCCGCCAGGTCTCCTCGCCATAATGATGTGATGGTTCTCCCCAGTCCCACTTCTCAGTGAACCAACCAGCCTTTAATCGTCACTATTTCTTTCTTTCTATTGCTCAATGGGAACGCTGACCCAGGTGACCATTTTTCTTAAATTAAATAACCAATAAAAGTCAGATTATATGTAGAAATAGAGCAAATATAGAGATTCTACCAGAGTCATTATTGTTATCTGTATTATAAATATTATAGAAGAGAGTTTAGATGATGTTATTGTTGAATACCTGTTTGAAAACAGGGTGGGGGGACTTTATTGTTTTTCTCTTTTATTTACATGGTTTTATCAACATGTTTTATAACGTACAACAGAAAATATTTAAAACAAAAAGATTTGAGTGAGCTTTTTTTTCCACCATGCTGGCAGTTACTGAAATAATATTGTAACTAAAGGCCTTTTACAGACAATATCATGACGTTGCATTAACTAGGCCTTCTCAGGGGTGACAGGTTGAGCAAATGTTAACATGACCATCCATTCAGGGTATCCCTCCATAGCTCCAGAGGGCAGGAAACACTGTACACATGGATGGGATGATGAGAAATAAAATGAGCAAATACATTTATGTACATTATAAGTAAAGTGGGTTGGATTTGGGGAAATAAAGCTTTTTCAAACTTGTGAAAATGTCTTTAATTATTAACTTTTGTGTGTGTATCTGTGTTTTTCTTTTGTTTTGTTTTGTTCTTTTTTTTTTCTCTTGCTTCTTACCACTGAGACCCTCTTCAACTCCAAAGTCTGCAAAGTGATTATTAAATCAACTGGAATGGGAAATGTATCTTTCGGTTCTTGGAGTGATCTTCATACTGCTTATGCTTTAAGATTTTCCATCTGTTTTGAACACGCCACAAAACCGTTGATCTTGTGGCGATTCGTTATTGTGTTGGAGAATGTTAGCAGGTGTGTCTTACCAGACTGGTGGTGCTTCAAATAAATTATAAAAATGCTTTTGACAGTGTAGCTGCAATCTGTATCAAGTCTTATCCCTGCTTTGGTTGAACACTACAAAATCTTGCAGAGGAACTGTTACCATGAATCAATGGTCTTCAGACCTTACATGAAAATTAGTATGTTTTATGCACACTCTTCCAAACTGCAAGCAGGTAAGTTGCAGGAAAAAGGGAGGTTGTGTGTTTTTCAGGCTTAAGTGCAATTGATAAATGAGACACTATTGCAGTGCTTTATGTCATCAAAATACAGCTTAGTATAGTCAACATTTGGCTTTAAATACTGATCAGCGCAAAGTGAAAAGTAAATCATTTACAAATATGCTGGATTTTAATTGCTGTGCATTCTGGGAGGAATACAACCTGCAACTTTTCAGGCTGTGTATACAAGACTTGATGAATACTTCTGTGCAGCACAGTTTCAAGTGATGGTGGAGGTCTTGAAAACTGCATTCATAGGAAAATTATGCTATTTCAGTGAGGAAAAGTCATTGTTCAGATGATGATCTGGAAAGCAGCAACAAAACATCTGCAGTATGGCCAAATTAAAGTAAAAGTGCAAAAGAGGTTTTCATAATATGACTCAATCCACTGGTTTTTCTTAATCTTCATTGGGCAAAATTGGCAACAAATTTTACAACACATTTTAAACTTCTTAAAGAGAAAGATGATATATATTGAGAAATAGTAGCTTTTAACTCCTACACAGTCAATCTGGCTAGAACATAATAGAACTTAAATTATTTATGAAGTTATCTGAGTTTATTCATACACATATGCTTGTACCACCTACAACTTTCAATGTTCAGGTGGTTCCTGGTGCTACGAATGGCAACTGCAGACATCCAGTGCACCCAGTAAATGGGAACAAGTTGAAACCACTATTATACTGAATTATTGAAAGAATGATACACCTAATCATGAGAGGATGATTTTTTTTTTTTTTTTTTTTTGTAAATCTGGAGTTTACAGATTTTACAAATCTGTAAATAAGAACCATATGGAGTTCTTATTGCACTACAGATGGGTGTTGCAATGCATTGAACTAAAACTGCAGAAAGATTTGAGAGTGATCAGTAGATTATTGAAGAAGCTCAATGAGCTCACCTTTGTTTTGAGCTGGTCTTGATAAATAATTAGTTACTTAAAAAGGTTATTTGTTCATTTCCAAAATGTGAGAGTTTGTTTTAAACAGAGTGCTTGAAATGTAACAGTGACAATGTATTTTCAGGACAAATAATTTATCTCAAATCCTCAGGATTAGGTTGACAACTGTTGCCAAAATCAGGGCTTAAAAGAGATGACTATGAAGGTGGTGTTGGCATTTTGGCTGAATGTGTTCACTGTTGTGTGGAATTGCCTCTGCGACGGTGAAAGTTGGGCCAGAGCAGAAGCTTTGAGGGTTAAAGTCAGCTTTTTTTTCCCCCAACATACAAAAAGTGTGGTTCCTCAGCCTTTTATCCAGAGACATGCTGCTGCTGCTGCTGCAGAGTATTTCAGATTGCGACACCAGTGCGCTGCCTTTTTGAACTGTGTATGTGACTAGCAACTAGAAATTGGTCTTTAGTGTTTGAGCTGTCAAACAGAGGAAGAAGACTCATAAATCATGCAGGCGAGTGACAAATCTATCCTTTTCACAGTGTATTTTTTAACAAATGCTGTTGTGGATTTTTTGCCATCCTTTATTCTACTCAGTAAAGCCTTTGCTACCATTCTCAGGAAAAAATTGACCAGGAAAACAAGACAAGTTGTAAGCCTCTCTTTGTACTATTATTATACTCTACAATGATTCATTCACTGAATCATTTTATGGGAAGGAACATAGGTGCAGAGGATTGCTTCTTATCATTAAAATGAACATGAGTGAAACAAGTGCTGGCACCCTCTAGGGAAACTAAAGTGAGTGTGCATAATGTAATTTCAGAAATGTTCCACTTGAAGTTTTCTCATTATCGTGCATTAATCTCTCAACATGCCCCATGTGGATCTATCAGATCATTTCCTCTGATGAAATGTCTATAATTTTGTCTGGCATCATTTTTCCTAAGTTAATTTATCGGATCAGTTTATTCATGGGGCCAGACTAACAAAACTAAGTACATGTTTCGGTGTGGTGCTGAAACTGCATATTAGTGAGCACAGACAGCAGCATTTCCAGTTGTCACTGATTTACTAAAACAGCAGGAGAATCATTTTTCTGATGTTACTCAAAAGTTTTTCCCTCATGCATATTGCACATTTGCATTTTATTAGCGCCACATGAAATTCTTGAGTGAAGCACAGATATGGTTTTAAATTAATGTTTTAAAGTAATTAATTGCAATTATGAAAAAGCATAAAATATGTTCCTAAATATTTGCAAGCACTAAGCCTCAAGGACTTCTATTCATAAGTGGGATACCTCACTACCACCTCGATACATGAAGTATGCTTTACCCCTGTGCCACCACAAATGAAAAAAAAATATTTCTTTAATTTCTTATATTAGAGGCAATTACCAGAAACAGCTAATTTCTACCTGTTAATACAACAGGTAGGAATGAGATTGGAGACTATTATTATTTTTATTATCATAAAGAACAATAATTGTTACATTAGCATGTACAGAAATTCATGTCTTACAAAACTATCCATTAAAAAAAGCATAGTGATGTCAGCTTTCTAATGTTTCTAATGTTTAGATTAAAAAAAAACATTTCAGGAAGCTATCAAAGGAAAGTCAATTTCTTGTTGACGCCACGAGAGGGCACTATATACCAAGGATTTGATTCTCATCTTTTTAGTTTACATGAGAGTAACTTTTATGTAAAAATCACACATTAATTAAAATTATTTTAAAATAATTTTGAAAAATATGCCATATTCCCTAAGCAGTGACTGAACAGAGTTCTCTAATGTTAGGCAATTACAAATTATAATGACAGTTTTGGTTATTTATTTAGAAAGTACAGAAAAAGTGAGCTAGTAGATCAGTGGCAGGCATTTGACTGGAGGACAACAGGTTCCCCTTTCAAATTCTTCTAAAATGTTTGATTGCATTAAAAGGATCGTTTTGTAAAATGGATCAAGACATCGGTTTTGAATTGGTGATGTGTAAATAAATTGAACTGAATGGATGGATGAAAACACATACAGTCTGAGTCATTTCCTCTCTGAATGTTATTTTTGATGAAGCTTGCGCTAAATGAGACAATTTGAAAAAAAAAAAACAGCTCAGTGTCAACCTCCCAGTCAGACACTGAGAGGAATTTTATTTGCTTACAAAACATGCAAACAAACACAAACTGTCAATATTTGAAAAGTGTGACCATGCAAAAGCTTAAATATGTTGAATGTGGAATAGTGTCAACAGACATGGCATAAACACGTATATATGTTTAGCATATCTCTGCCGTTTTGATAAAGCAAACATCAAAAGCACATCTGATTTGATATAATGATATAGTGTTAATAAATGATTCACACCTCAGGAATAACATACACAACAGTGACTTACTGTTGATATTTCACTTCATTGTGTGCCATCTGTTTTTACATGCAGGCGCCAGAAAGGTAACCCCTGAGCCAGCAATGCCTAAACTCCACAAAGAATTTGCAAGGAATGTCAATCATTGAGCAACACAAAACAATCACAATGTAACAAAGATCCACATTGACAAACCGCCACGCATTGTTCTGAATGTGTCAATGTAATCCTTTCATCATTTTTTCTTTCAGAAAAAGTAAAAATTCAGCATGTCTGTAAAGTAGTCATAAGGTAACGTGAAGATGGTTGCATTTCTGATTCTGTTTGTGTGCTCATTTAATCCATATAAACTCAAAGCCAGTACAGTAATGTGCAACTTGTTTTTTGTGGATAAAAATGCTGATTGTAAGCAGTTTAAGACACATGGGTCCAAAGCACACAGTCTGCGGTCCAAACATGATTTGATTCAGTAACATTGACATTATATCTACATGGTGATCCTTTTCCTTGGTTGTTTGAGATAAATATTTTCAATGTCATGATTAAACTAGAATTTCAGCAGAACAGCACCAACTGGATAGAAATATCTGTACAATCATTGTGCCTTTTCTCTTGTGATAGCCTCTCCACATTTTTAAAACTTTTACTAAAACAGAATTCCCTTTACCATTCCCTTTTGAACTTCTTGTTTAAGCCAGGCGAGCAGAGCAGCAAGCTTAGCTGTCTGTTGAGCCACTGCCCTTGTTCTTATTGCGACTTAGAGGAAAGGTGGGCTTGCTCTGTGGCTGGGTCATCTTGCTGGCCAGGTGGACAAAGGGATCGATGAGCGTGCGCCGGTCCACCACCGACACCTCCCACAGACGCACCTTCTCGTTTTTCGCCCAGTTCTGCGCATAGTTAGTATCAATTCTCCTCTCGTCCGGCTTGTCCAGCTTGTTGCCCAGCACGATGATGGTGACCTATGGGTCAGGATTAATGGATTAGCAATCACAGACCACTGTGCGCTTAATTAAGTGATGCCTGATGTGAATTGAATAATGATGGAGGTAAATGCTTTGAAAAGTAATCATTAACAAACCTGTCTCAGAAAAATCAATGTCTGTGGATAGGACATTCTGCATTATTATGACTAACACACTACAGAGAATGTTTTATTAAGCTGCTAGAAAAACATAATTGGACACAACTCCTGGATAAATCCCTTCAGTTATTAC